AGGATGACCAGAAGTTGACTTTGACCTAGAGTTGACTTTGACCAAGGTGTTGGCCTTGACTTTAAATTTGACCAGGAATTGGTAATTAAGGAAGATTGTTATGTGTAGGAGCTGAGAGGAATTGAGTTCGGCAGCAAGTACAGTTCAGACACTTTATGACATTGAGGTGAGTTACCTTCCAGTAGCGTCTACGGCCACAATGCCGACCCACTAGTAGGAGTTTGTTGAAAGATGATTTGTCTTTGTGATAATTATCTAGGTTTGCTACTACCTGATGTGTCTTATGTGCTAGCATGATATGTTGTATGTGTTAGTGGTAGTAGGAGGGGAGTAGTCCCCGAGTTTGGTCGTTAGGACCGAAGGGTAGGTCGGCACCCCAGATATGCCTGACAGTATGTTTATGCTATGTTTTGTGTGGTAGTAGTAGGGGTGAAATAGTCCCCATAGCCGGTTGCGATAAACCAGAGGGCATGTCAGCACCCCAAAACTGCTTGACATGGGTAGGTCAGCACCCCATAACTGCTTGACATGCGTAGGTCAACACCCCAGAACTGCTTGACATGGGTAGGTCAGCACCCCAGAACTGCTTGACATGAGTAGTTCGGGCACCCCAGAATTGCCTAACAGTATGTATGTTGTATGGTATGTGGTATGATGGGGAAACTCACTAAGCTTTGTGCTTACGGTTTTCAGTTTTGGTTTCAGGTACCTCTTCGTCGAAGGGGAAGGAGCCGGCACGGTAGCAGCGCATCGCACAAACATGAATCCGTATTTTTGAGATCCATGGGATTGTACTCTAACATTATTACTATTTTGATGATATGATTTTTGAGACATGTGATTATGGTTTTATGAATTGATATGATGATGATGATGTTTTTTAGTAACTGTTTTATAAGTAATATGAGTAAAAACAAATTTTTTGGTCTTGAAAATTGAGATGTTACAGTGAGTTTGCCTAAAATGTACACTCTTGGATCTTCAAATAGCTTGGATTAGGAAGTAGAATGTGCTCAAGTATCTCAGAATTTCTTAACTCATGTAATGGGTGACATAACTGTCAGTTACAGACACTGATTGGTGATACAATCTTATATTGCACACTCTGGAGCATTTGGATTGCCAGGAACAATTGGATTTTTAAAAATATTCGAGTATCTTCAACAAAGGTTGCAGATGTCATTATCGCTAATTCATACTCATGGTGCAAATACAGAAAAAAATGGTTGTGGCGACTGGGCTGAATGGATTTGCTCACCTTTACTCATTTATCTAGGGATGAGCATATGGACCGGGGAACCGGAACCGGAACCCGATGGAACAGGTCGGGCCGGGACTGATACTATAATTTTGTCAATTTTTGGAACCGGGACCCGGTAAGAACCGATCGTTGGAACCGGCCCAAAACCGGGAACCGGATCGGATAACTCATTTAAATTTTGAAAGTTGCATAACTCACTCAATTTAACTTGTTTTGGCCTGAAATCTTTTTCCTACATGTAGATTAGGATTTTTAGTTAAGTTTAGACTATAAAAACGCTTGATTTGGTTAAAAATTGAATGAGTTACAAGCCCCGCAAGGAAGCGTGTCAAATCAGAATTTTTTTATGTTTCAACAATTAAATGTAATGTAACTTTGTTGTTCAAATGTGCTTAACTCACTCACTTTAATTGTTTTGACCTGAATCTTTTTCCTACATGTAGATTAGGTTTTGTAGTTAAGTTTAGACTATAAAAACGCTTGATTTGGTTAAAAATTGAATGAGTTACAAGCCCCGCAAGGAAGGGTGTCAAATCAGAATTTTTTTATGTTACAGCAATTAAACGTAATCTGACTTTGTTGTTCAAATGTGCATAACTCACTTAATTTAAGTTTTTTTGACCTGAATCTTTTTCCTACACTTAGATTAGGTTTTGTAGTTAAGTTTAGACTATAAAAACGCTTGATTTGGTTAAAAATTGAATGAGTTACAAACCCCGCAAGAAAGCGTGTCAAATCAGACCGGTTCCAAAATTGAAAATCCGGCAAAAACCGGACCCGGAACCGGAACTGGTAGAACCGCCGGGCCGGTTCGGTTCTTGATATTGACCGAAGCTGGTTCCCAGGTCGGGGTCCGGGTCGGGCCGGTTCCGACCGGTTGCTCATGCCTACATTTATCATTGTAATTTGTTTTGCTTTTATTATCGTCTTTTTCTCATTGTTTTGTTTTTCTGTCGCGATTTAGTTACTTGCTAATCGCCGACCTTTTAATGATATTTGCCGTTTCCAAAAAAACAAAAAAAACTGAGATCACATGACAGTTTGGTAGTTATAGATGATTTAAAGATGTTGACACCTACAACTCTTAGTTATATAATAAATTTGATATAAGCATCGTGATTGAGTTGCTAGATCTTTTTTCAAAATTTGAAGTTCACCTATGATCTCACCCCTAGAAGCACACATCTAACAATTTCTTTCTATTACAAAAGACCACTTAATTCATGAATTATTTGAAAATTTTAAGAAGTTTACCAACTTGAAATGTATATAACTAATTGAAGCCATCTTCCACATTCTATATCTTTGCCACCCAAACTTCATGTTGATTCTTTAATGAGAACTCAACATATGTCTATCATGTTCTTGTCTCTCATCTCCTCAAGCGAGTAGGCGAAGAAGACGACAATATTGTTTCATCAAGTTTTTCAATGTTAAACCGAAATGACTGAAACGAGCATTGTGATTGGTTGGTTTGGACTCAAAACAAGCATAGAAATTGATCGAAGATTGACGCATTGCTATTTGCTAATCTTGCTAAAGTTCACTAAATTTACCAATTTTTCAAGAATTATCTGCTAAGTTTAAAAATTATTAAATAAAACATAAATTTGTTAGTTTGTGAAATATACAAATGGGACAACTCATTACCCAATTTCATGAATTCAGAGCGTGTTTTAACATTTGTGGTATAACTTGAAAGTGTAAGGTTGTTGGGTAATGTTTGGGTTCCAAAAAATTTGGCTAAAAATTTCTAACTTTGATATTAGCAAACCACCTAATCGCTTCCATATTAACCAATTATTATTTTAATAACCAACTAGCAAAGAACTCGCGGCTACGCCGTTTTTGGGGTAATATGGGGAAAATCGGCAAACTTTAAAAAATACGTGCTGAAAGTGCAAATCACCGCAAATAGGAGAGAAAGTCGACAACCCCTAAAATTAGATGTCCAAAGTGTACGACAACCAAAAGAAGGGACACTGGTGGAGAAAATCCAAAAATGTTGTGGCAATAATGTGAAAGTTGCCAAAGTTGAGAAAATATGGTGGCAAAATTCTAAAGGAGGTTTTTTGTGTTTTTTATGTCAAAATGTAAAAGTTTTGACTATAAGGACGAAAAGTGTCAAATTCATTAAAGATTTGTGGCAAAAACACTAAAATATAAAACTTTTCACTGCAAGGACGAAAAGTGTCAAAGTTACTAAAGATTTGTTGCAAAACACTAAAAACACAAAAACTTAATCAAAACACAAAATTGTAAAAGTTTTCACTTTAAGGATTAAAAGTGTCAAATTCACTAAACACATAAAAGTTACTATTGCTAACTCCCTTTAGATTTAATATATATATATAGAATTAATAAACCAGTCATTTTATATATATATATATATATATATATATATATATATATATATATTAAATCCAAATGAGTTTAGGAATAGTATTCTTTTAGGCTTTAGGATTTTTTGCCACAAAAGTTTGTTGAACTTGACACTTTTAGTCCCTAAAGTCAAAATTTTTACATTTTTGCCTTTTGATTAAGTTTTTGTGCCTTAAGGTTTTTGCCACAAATCTTTAATGACTTTGACACTTTTAGTCCTTATATTCAAAGGTATTACATTTTGGTGTTTTTGCCACAATTCTTTAATGAATTTGACACTTTTTGTCCTTGTAGTCAAAAGTTTTACATTTTGACATAAAAAACACAAAAAAACCTCCTTTAAAATTTTGCCAACATATTTTCCCAACGTTAATAACTTTAATATTATTGCCACAACATTTTGGATTTTCTCCACCAGTGTCCCTTTTTTTCGTTGTACACTTTTGACATCTAATTTTAGGATTTGTCGACTTTCTTCCCTATTTATGGTGATTTACAATTTCAGCACATATCTTTTAAAGTTTGCCGATTTTTTCCATATTACCCAAAAAAAGGCATAGCCGCGGGTTCTTTACTAGTTCGTTATAATGTATAAACCAATTGATTTAATATTTTATTTCTTTAATAAAATAAAATTAGTATCTAAACTATTAGAAAAACAAAAAAAATTTAATATTTACTTGAGAAAGGCAAAAAAGAAATAAAGAAAAGCTATAAAAACTAGTTGAAGTTGAACTAAACCTTTAATTTTATACATTTTAATATATAAAAAGATTCCTTTCCTTAAGCTGTTTACCACGTTGCCATGTAGAGAAGCTCAAGAACACAGAGTGTAATCAATTCCACCCCTCACATCTCGCTACCCGTTGCTTCTTCCATTTATTGCGATAGGTTTGCATTTATTAAGATTCAGAGGAATCCCATTACCCCTTTGCTTTAATTACGACAGGTTTCCCTTTGGGTCTCTTTTAGGGTTTTTATCCAAGGAATCATTGCTTTCAGTAATCTCTTTACGCTCTGTAACTTTCTCCTTTGATTTCGAGTCTGATGAATGTGTGTGTGTTGTTGTTTTGAATTTTGTATCCTTCTGTATTAAGGAAACTGGAAACCCTTTTTGTGAAGAGTTGATTCTCTTCTAACTTTGCGTTTTTGTAGTTTGAATCAAAGGTTTTGATTCTGAAAATGCTTCAAAATTGAGTGCTTTTGCTTTATTGAATCTAGGGTTCCGACCTTTTCTTTGTGCTTTTGGGGGAGAAGTTAGATGGGATGAACTCATAAACTCACAAGCAAACAAAATCACTCGAAACACATTCTTCTTCTCGATCGTTTTTTTTCTTCTAAAAATTGTGCCCTTTCAATGCATATTTCACTGTGGAAACCCATTATATCTCATTGTGCTTCTCTAATTTCCGACAAAAAGAGCAGAAGGAAATATGGGTCTGATCACACCGATGAAGAAATTAAACGAAACCCATCTGTTCTTCGAAAATTGCAGGAGAATAAGCTTCGAGAAGCCCTTGAACAAGCTTCTGAAGATGGGTGTCTTGTTAAATCCCAAAATATGGATTTCTCCGAGCCAATCGATAAAGAAGAAAAGGGTTTGGGAAGATCGAGATCACTCGCTAGGCTACAAGCTCAAAAGGAATTTCTAAAAGCAACTTCGTTAGCTGCAGATAGAACATTTGAAGACGAAGATTCAATTCCTGAATTCGATGAAGCTTTCTCAAAGTTCCTGACAATGTACCCGAAGTACAAATCATCTGAGAAAATCGATCAGTTGAGGGTAAACGAGTACTCACATTTGACAGATACAATTTCAAAGGTATGTCTCGATTACTGCGGATTTGGGTTGTTTTCGTTTCTTCAAACTGTTAACTACTGGGAATCTTCCACAATCACTCTATCTGAAATCACTGCACATTTGAGCAATCATGCTCTATACGGTGGTGGAGAAAAAGGAACTGTCGAATACGATATAAAAACCAGAATCATGGATTATTTAAACATCCCGGAGAACGAATATGGCCTTGTGTTCACAGTTAGCAGAGGCTCAGCGTTCAAACTTCTAGCAGAATCATACCCATTTCACACCAACAAAAAGCTTCTAACAATGTTCGATCATGAAAGCCAATCTGTAAATTGGATGGCTCAAAGCGCGAAAGAAAAAGGCGCAAAGGTTCATAGCGCATGGTTCAAATGGCCGACATTGAAGCCATGTTCAACCCATCTCAGGAAACAAATCGTCAACAAAAAAAAGAAGGAAGAAAGATTCATCCACTGGTCTCTTCGTTTTTCCTGTTCAATCACGAGTCACCGGAGCTAAATACTCGTATCAATGGATGGCGTTAGCTCAACAAAACAACTGGCATGTTTTACTTGACGCTGGAGCTTTGGGTCCGAAAGATATGGATTCTCTAGGGTTATCACTATTTCGACCCGATTTCATCATCACTTCTTTTTACAGAGTTTTTGGGTACGACCCGACTGGATTCGGGTGTCTTCTCATCAAGAAATCAGTCATCGGAAGTCTTCAAAATCCGGCGGGACACGCCGGATCTGGGATAGTCAAGATCAGTCCGGTGTTTCCTTTATATTTGAGCGACTCCATTGATATAACTCCAGGGTTGTCTGGTATCATCGGAGAAGATGAAGTCGCCGGAAAAAGTGAATGCATACCTGAAACTCACGCCGGAGCTCTCCTACCTGCTTTTTCCGGCGCGTACACTCCTTCTCAGGTTAGAGACGTATTTGAAACTGAAATGGATCTGGATCCGGATCATGATCATGATCATGAACATGAACATGGTAATAGCCCTATTTTTGAAAGCTTTTCTGTTGGTGAAGTTATGAAAAGCCCTATTTTTAGTGAAGATGAATCATCTGAAAATTCAATGTGGATTGATTTGGGCCAAAGCCCATTGGGCTCACAATCTGAAATCATCAACTCCCCTTTACCTCCTCCTGTTCTATCGTTCGATGCAGCAGTTCATAACGTGAAAAAAACCGACAATTTTCAAGAAAAAATTCACGAAAATGGAAGAAAACCCGATTGTGGGGAGATTCAAGAAGAACCCGAAACAAAAAAACCCAAAGAAAGCGCAATCATAACAAGAGAAACAGAAAACGAATTCCGATTATTAGGAAGATTCGAAACGAGTAAAAGGGTATCATTTGGATTCGAAGACAACAACAATGAATTGAGTAAAGATTTTGAAGAATATTTTGAAGATCAAGAATCAGAAAGAAGAGAACCCGAAATAAGTTGTAGGCATCTTGATCATGTAAACATGTCGGGTTTAAACAAGACGACTTTTAGGCTTCGGTTTTTGGTGAATTGGCTCGTGACTTCTTTACTTCAATTGAGATTGAGATTGAGATTATCATCAAATGGGGAAAAAGAGAAGGATAAAGGTGATTCTGTTCCACTTGTTCATATTTATGGTCCTAAAATTAAGTATGAAAGAGGTGGATCAGTGGCATTTAATGTTAGGGACAGAAATGGAGGATTAATTAGTCCAGAAATTGTTCAAAAGTTAGCGGAATCAAATGGGATTTCTCTTGGGATTGGGATTCTTTGTCATGCGAGGGTTATTCAAAGCAATAAACAGAATCTTGCAATTGATACGAGTGTTTGTAAGCCGATGAATGATGGTGGTGGCGGCGGCAGTGGTGGTGGTGGTGGTGGGTTTGTTAGGGCGGAGGTGGTGACTGCTTCACTTGGGTTTTTGACGAATTTTGAAGATGTGTATAAATTGTGGGTGTTTGTGGCGAAGTTTCTTGATCCATGTTTTGTTGGAGAATATGAAGGTGGAGGAAAGGAAATTGGGTGAGTTTTTGTATTTTGGTAATTTTTTTTGGGGGGTTTTTATATGGAGATAGATGATGACCATATGGGGTGGATTTGAATCTAGTGCAAGTGTTTGTAATTTATGAAATCTTGCTTTTGATTTGAGAAGTTTATGGTTTAGTATGTTGGAAGCTTTGGTGTTGTTTCAATATATGTTATATTGTTGATGTTCTTTTTATTAGTTGGTGAAGATCAAAGCCTCTATAGCTAACATTAAAGTTCTTTTATTAATCTTTTACATATGAAAAAATGGCGATAATTTGAGTGTTAATTATGTAAAAATACTTGAGAACATGACAAAATAGCCATATTTTTTTGGGTTAATAACTAAAAAGCCGCTATATTTTGTCATTTTTTCCGGTTTAACAACATAACATTTAAAAGTTCTATCGCGACCAATATAATCAGCATTTGTGTTAAAAAAAATTACTAAATTTCATTTTTTGCTAATATCCATAAATGGATGGTTAAATTGAACTTTTGGAAAAAAATAATGTTTTTTTCCTAATTAAAACCAACTCTTATATGTAACGTTCTACCAAAATTGATAGATTTTTTGGAACTTAATAAAAAATCGGTGGTTAAACCAAATTTTTAGAAAAATATGATGTTTTTTCAGTTAGCTTTATTTTCTAATCATTTTATTATAACCATTAATTAAGAAAATTCCATTTTTAACCAATGAAATCGCATAGGTAATTTGGATTGGTCTGCAATTTCAATTATTAGCCCAAGATATCTAAAAAATATAATAAAATGTGTTGCCTTATTTTTCAACAAACCCCTCATATTAGACTATATGGTTCAGATGGGGGATTTACAAATGCTGCAAGAGCAGCCAGACGTGGAAACTGTTGGGGTAATATTGCAAATCTCCCAAAAATGCTAGCTAAGGATGATCTCCAATTCCATATATGGTTCAGATGGAGGATTTACAAATGCTGCAAGAGCAGTCGGACGTGGAAACTGTTTGGGTAATATTGCAAATCTCCAAAAAATGTTAGCTAATGATGATCTCCAATTCCATGACTTTTTTCAAATTGATCAACATGGATCTGATGAATGGCAATGGACTGTCGATCCTTCTAAAAAGTACTCAGTAGCATCACACCGCCATTACATTGATAAAAAAAACCTTGCCCAAATCGCCCTCATCTTGGGAATGGAACACACTTGTACCGGGGAAATTGAATGTCTTGGCATGGAGAATTTGTCACGGTAGGCTTCCCACACTCGTAAATCTGGTCAAGTATGGGTTAGGCTCTGATTCAAATTGCAAAATTTGCATAGAGGCCCCGGAAGAAGAAAAACACTTATTCTTTAAGTGTCGAATATCATGTCATGTTTGGCCCTAATTATGCAGTTGGAGGAAAGTTCTGTCGTCAAACCCTCTATCCCTTCAAGACTTCTGTAACCACAAGATTACCTCATCGTATTTAAAATCATTTGTTGAAGTGCAAGAAGCTATAGTCCTTACTTACATGTGAGTTCTATGGCATTTTAGAAATCTTAAGATCCACTCCAACGATCCCAAATCCCATACTACATTAGTAATGGAAATCCAAATCTTATCCTTCCTATGGATCAATGCACGAAAGAAAAAAAAACAGTCATTTTAGATGGATCGAGTGGTGCAATGACCCAATCTTAGAATTCCATGGTCGAATTTAATGGGCTCAATTGGTATTCCAGGTGCTTCACAAGTCGTATAATCAGGTCTGCTGTGGAAATAAAGCAACCAAAATGCTCAATAACCACAACTCCAGATGTGAGGGCTGGGTGTTGTTTGGGTGTTAGTATTGTTTGCAATTGTTTTTCTATTTTACTTTTTCTTCCCTCTTTTTTCTTTTCTGAATATTTTGTATCCTCGCTAGCTGTTTATTTATAATATATTTTGTTGCCGTTAAAAAAAAAAAAAACTAACTTTGGCTCATTTATCTTGTTTGTCGGTTATCTCTTTATAAAAGCATATTTCTTTTGTCAAAAACGCTCACATTTACTTGAGTTTCAATGCTGTAAGGTTAAAAAACGTTTTTTTTAAGGTGGTATTCTTTATACTATTGTTGACGGTGAGTGGAAAACCGTCCAACAAATCTCAGCCCTATAAACTCTCCCATCTTTCAAATGATATACGTCCTCGTCCTTAACTAAAGATGAAGCTTTTCTCATAAGTTCTCTTGAGAATTGTGGTGGATCCACATCCTTTTCAGCCCACCTACTAGGGCTATTCACTATTTAGTTAAAACCGAATTGTCCAATCGGACAATTTGGATTGAAATATATTTTTTTCGGATATTTGGATTTTTTGATTGATTTTAAGCTAAACCGAATTATTAATTTGGATTTCGGATTGGTTTTAGTTTATAAAATAAGAACCGAATAGTCCAAAAACTATGAATAACAATTTATTATTTATTTCTAATATATATCTTCAATCATTTATAACATTACTAAATTATTTTTTTAATTATTAGAAACTTTTATCCGATATAACACATTAACATGTACTTCTTATTAAAAGATTTTTGTCAATGAAATATTAAACTATAATCAATTTTTATTAGTAGCTGTTTATAAATTATAATTCATACTTAAAAAGTTTTTTAGATACTTTTATAGAGTTTATTGATATTTAAGTTATATATTTTTGAAAATGTGTCGCCTCTTAAAAAACCGAATTGTAAAACCGATCCAACCGAATTGGAATTTGGTTGGATCGGATTTTGAATTTAGTTTGGACTATTCGGATCCATGTTTAGAAAACCGAAATCTATTTGGATTTACTTGATCGGATCGGATCAAACCAATCTATCCAAACGAACACCCCTACCACATACCACCAGAAGGATCATGAATTGAAAATCAAACGACTATATTTAGTTTAGTCCAATGTTTACTATTCACAAATTTATAGTTGTGAGCTCTAAAAATGCTTAATATAACATAGGAAAGAAAGCAATATAATACCCAGAAACACAATCTCACTTTCTGTTGGTGATAAAGCTCACAAGAGCTATAAAATAAGATAAAATACATTAACTCATGAGAGGGGCATGAGCTTTTACATTACCAACCGTTCAAAAAAAAAAACTCACAAGATGGGCATAATTAACTATGAGAAAAACAGATGAAAAAAACTCACCTTTAAGTAATTTTTGGGTATCATGGGTAGTTCAATCTAGCCACCAACATCAGTAACTTTTTCATGCATAAAAAATTGAAAAAATCATGATTATGAAACAAAATTTAAGGTAGACAGATTATCTTACATGTTCAACCACACAAACTAATTAAGGAGGTGATGAGATCCCATAAAATGCAACTGCGAAGATAAACATCATAAGAATAAGACACTTCTACTAAACCCTAAAAGGCATAAATACCCTTGCTAGTCAATCAAATACTAACGAGTTTTAAGAGCAATACTTGCAAAACCAACCGATTAACACAAGAAAGACCTTATATATCAAAACCTGAAACATAAGTTAACAAAAATTGACATCGATACCCTTCTAAGATCTTAAAATAAAGCTGATAATTAGCAAAAGAATGACCAAAAAGATCTTGCTTCCATTTTTTATCTCTTGATAAAGTGATCTGAATGGAAGATGTACCTTTAAGTTGATTGTTCAGGCTTTAAACTTGGATAATTTTACCATCATCTCTTCCTTGAGATTTTCTGAACTTTTAAATTCAACATAGAAAATCCTATACATAGACAACCAATAAAGAAATCGTGAGACAACACAAAATCATCAAATGTTGAGACATTCACTGCTGCCCTAAACATGGATATCGAAGGGGGACCATACTTCAGCATCTCAGACTCCCAGTACTACACAAATATACACTTTGAGTTTGTATGTCAAACGAGCTACTTTCAACTTCAAATTGGTGGTAAATACTTGATTAATTCATAAATCAGGGCTAATAATCAGTACAGGTGTGACAAGAAAATGTCGCTTAAAGGAAATTTTTGTCTTTATTACCTTTCTACTTGTGATGTAGCCTTTTGGTTATTAAGAACCCGAATAAAATCTCTTTAGGTATATTTCAGAATTAAAGGAACATATGGTAAGTGGTTTCTCCTGAATTTTTTTATATATGTTTTTTCATCACCTTGCTTAAGGCTGACTCATTTGAAAAAAAAAATATTTATTAATGGACAGTTTGCTCTTAAAAAAGTTGAGATGTAGATCTAACAATAATGAGTTTAGAAATTGTAAAAAAAAAATGTAAACCAGAATTTGTTGTATAGGTTATTTGTGAATAGTCGTGACTAGGGTATGTCCATTAAGTAAAAAATAAAAGCATGGTAATACTTCAGAATGAACTGTTATTCTTCAGTAATTTGAGACTATTATGTGTGCAATCAAGCTAAACTATAAGTAGGATATATGCTTAAGTTCATGTATGTGTTTATTTTATCTTTACTTTTTACTATACGAGTTTAAAGTTTGTCAGCATCCCATGATGCTACGAGTTTTTTGATTTATGCTTTTCTTTATTCAGTGTCTAATGCATTAAGTTTTCTTAAATTTATATGAATTACTTATTATGTGCAGGAATTGTTAGTAGAATTAAAACATGTCTATGGAACATATTTTAGAAGGGCATATTTCCTCTTATATCACTGTTGGAAGAAAGGGAAAATTGATATTATGTGAAATTAGCATCTTACTTTCATGCAAAGTACTTTATAACGTGGATGTTGGGATTTTTGTTGAAAGACTTGACATGGAGTGGAAATTTAATGTGTATTTGTATTAGTACCCTTGATTTGGTCATTTTTGCCTTTCATGGTGTTAACAATATAAGTACAATGCCCGACCAACATGTCAATAATGTCAACATACTTATTTGTGTTTGATGTTGGTTACTCGTTTGGATTTTTGACCAATAAAGAGGACAAGTTAGAAAGGTATATACCTACCGTTCACTTTATTCTCCCATTTTGTTTGTGGCCCCGTGCATCTTCAGATT